ACCGGCTTTCTTGGTGATATTGCTGAAGCTGCGTGCCAAGTGGCCACTCTTTGCTAGGAACGGCCAGTCGCCGCAAACATTGATCAAAACCATCCAATATCTGCGGTTCCATTCATCACAGACACCAGTTGTTGCCATGAATTGTAAGTCAGCACAAAGAGAATCCAAGACCGCATCAAATATATGCGCGTTGTCGCCCGTATAAGACGCTTTTGTCAAAGTTGCAAAAAGATACCTTGTCGTGTAGCTGTGCCCGCTGAAGTTCGGCAGAAGCTTGGCATACTGCTTCCGCAGGAGTTTCCCTTTTTCAGATCGATGCGAGGGGCCAGCGCCACGTCCTAAAATTGAATGCCAGCTCAGAATCATGATGGCGGAGCGACGACGGCTCCGACCTTCATCTCCATGTACCAAAATGCCAGCAGTACGTGACAAATCAATTTCACCTCTGTCAGCCTTTGCAAAAACAGTGTGGTGCGGGCTGTAGGCCCTAAATTTTTGCCAAGAGGAAGACCATTGTGAAGCACTTCTTTTCGCATCTGGTTGCTGAAGGCCTGACAACATGTGCCACAAATTGTGGTCGACAATCCACTTTGCCCAGTCGCGGAGCTTGAGAAGTGGCACCACTAAGTTCTTGTCACCGGTTGGCAAAAAACTAATGGGCACATCCAACGCTAGTTCAAGCTTATCCACCAACAACCTCTGAGCATCTCTCTCTGAGTTGCTGCTGGCGTTGCAACGTGCCAGCTGAATCAACCCCCCAGACCGCTTGGCCGCAGATTCACCTATGTCCTTGACCACGTCCTGTGCGGTTCTTATTGCCGCAGCGCATGAGGCCTAGGAAACCGGCAAGGTGCTCGTACCGTGAGAAAAATGTGGAAGATTGGAAATGACCAGGCGGTCCAACTTCTATATGCACTGGCGAATGTCTTGTGGCTGTATTTCACATTCCTTTCTTTCGAAGATAAAACATATTCATATATATATATATATACAACATATATACAATATATCTATTTAAATTATATATATACAATATATTTATAATTTGTATACCCTGAGGGAGGCTATCTCAACGGCTGACACTTTGCACAACCAGCAAGCCGCAACTGTGGCTACGACCGCTGCCCATGTGGTGGAAATCATTTTTTGAACTTGAGACCCTTAACATTTGCATATAGGTTTTTCTATATGCACGTGTGAAACTTCCCAAACTAAGCAGCTAGAGCTAGCGACAACACCTTCTAATTGGAGGTGGGTGTTTGAAAGATCTGTACACCACATAGGTCAAGAACCGATCCCGCCCAGAGGTCCACGATGGAGAAGAATCGCCTCCAAGCTTGATGTTCTTGCAGCCAGGCATGCCTGAGATCAACGGTTTTGGATTCCTGTTTAGCGGACTACCCTCTTAACACATATTATAATGATATTTGAAGGGGACCTCGCCAATTACATAAAAACATGCGATATTATCTCATCTTAGATACCCTTGAACTGGTGAATAAGGGCCGCTTCGAGCATGCAAGGGCCGGCGGGCTCGTTGCTAATCCAGAGAACCAGCATGTTGGACCATCTTTCAACACTATGTTTGTATCCGTAAATTCTGTTGTGCCAACGCCAAACTTCGCAGTGGGTCACCCCCACCTTAAAAATCAGAGGCTTCTGTGCAGATATCAGTTTCTCCATTTCAGCCTGGCAATGTTTGAGTACAGCTCCAGCCACAGCTCCGGCGCAGGGAAGTTTGAAAGCTATGACTGGATCAGCAGGCTCCTCAAGTTTACGTTTGGACTGGTTGGGTGGTGGCTCCAACTTCTTGTTTTCACTCGAATCCATAGGGTCCAAACCATGCAGTGAAAATTGGTCACCGCAATCCTCTTGCTCTTGATTTCGAACTTCATCTAGTGAGGGTGAAGATTCTATGCAGCCAGACCTGGTGTCATGTGAACTCGAACTCGAACAAGAAGACCATGGAAATGCGCCATCTTTTTCCTTAGCTATGCGGTCGTGGATATTGTAGAAAACACTGGTTCCTTGACTGTTTTGTTTGAAATGATTCCTTCCCAGGGTTTTTGTCCACTTTTACCCTGTGGCAACTTGGAAACGAAAATGCAAATGTGGCAATAAATGCCAAAGGTCAGAGCGGTGACATGTAAGCAAATCCAATAGTTCGTCTTCAGGTAGTTCACTGTGATCCCAGAGGGTTGCAGAACCAACTATTTTAATCAAAGAACGGCTGCGGCTATCATGGTTTGATGTTTCCAAATGGCTGAGTGAAATCATCCGTGCATTGTATTTTTCTATGTTGTTCTCATGCATCAAATTTCCCACTACTTGACAAAAATCAAATCCTAGGATTGCAATGGTTCCTGTAGCTCCAAATATCTCTCAATTGAGCGCCATGCGCCCTCTCCGATGCCAGCGCTCAGGCCGCGAATTGTGTGGCCAGGCTTGACACCTGGCAGAGTCTGTATGGGATGAACCGGGACCACATGCAATGAACATGGGGGAAAGATCCTTGAACATTGGCCGGATAATATCATCACGTTGGCACCATAGTAGATGAACAAAAGTTCTTTTGGAAATGCGTAAATTTTGGTGATATGGCACGACATCTGTTTTGAAGGGGTGGCAAAGGCACATGGAGACCTATGCGCCCAAGATTTTTCGGACTCGATCGGACCATCGCACACCTTCGGCTTCATGCTTCAAGTTCCGCAGGTGATGCCAGTCACCCCAACCCCCGGAGTTGCTAGAAGAGGACCGTAGAGAAATCCACGGTTGACGGACGGACGTTTGACACGACCTATCACTGCACCAAGCATTTTGAAGGCCTGGTGTGAAAGAGGTGCATACACATGATAATAAGACATATTTTTTGGTGAGAATTATTTAGCAAACACTTTTGCACTTGGTTGTCTTTTTATAGTGGCGAAAAAATGCCATTGGATATGCACCAAAAACCCAGCAAAGCATTGAGACATTTGTCTAGACCTTGGCCGATCGCCTTTTGGGCTTGGCCGCCACCTTTACGGCAGGCTCAGCTTTGGCCTTTGCACGTCCCGTTTCAGGCTTCTTCTTGTCATAGTATTTCTTTGCATTCCTGAAATTAAATGCCAACAACCTGTCATCCCCTACTTGGTGAGGTGCTGCAGTGTAGGATGAATCTGGTGTTTCACCGCTGCCGGCCCACGCAGGACCTTCACACAGATCAGTCCTGACTTTGAGCTCTGCAGCGGCCGCTTTGCTGCACCTGGGCAGGAGGTGGGAAAACAACAAAGTGACCTGGTTGGCCAGGACTTGCCCAATCATTTTCCGAAAGGCTTGGTTACCAGCTCTTACTTGCTAAGAATGGAACACAAAGGTTGCCGCTTTCATCTTCGATTCCGCATCCTTGACAAACCTTGTCGCAAGAAAAACTGAGTGGATAATTGGTGAGACTCTGAGAGGGGATGGTGTTCGCTTTAACAAGCAAACATTCTGGTCAAGAAACTCATCAGTAGCGAATCTGTCAGCTTCACCCTTCGCCCAAGCTTCGTTGCAAAGATCATACTGTTGATCAACCTTCTTGATCTCAGCTTCGAGGGTGACCACACACCTTAAAGGTAGGAGCGTGACCGTATGGCTGAAACAGGTACCCGGTTGAAATTCAAACGCAGAAAAAAACGAGATTGACAGAGAGATGAAAAATTGCAGATAGCATGGGATGGGTCAAGGTGTTTTTCAAATAATCCCAGAAACTGTCCAGCGGCTGGATCCACATACTGGGTCTTCAGTTCCCGGACAAGCTTTCTCATCGCGCCAGTTTTGGCCATGATTGACTCCATGAAACGTCCCAAGCTATCTTTGACCTCCAGCTCTTTTGAAACATGTTGGTCCTTTTCTGTGACTGTTGTAAAACGGGAAATGCTGGGAAACTATACTGCGGTTACGTCCTGCGCTTGAAAGAAACACAGTTGCCTGCGTGTACTTGTTCTGCTCACCAGGCTTCGGTCCACCAACCTGGTTTTGCTTGTCCGCCCGGGCTTCATACGAAGCCATGGACTTGAAGCTTTCGTCCATGTTCCAAGAAGGTTCACCATCGGCCTGGATGGCAAGGCAACTTCTTTAATATTTAGACACCCAGAAGAAGGTTTATGTAGAAGCTACTAAGGCTACTAAGGAAAAGGGACAGGGTTGATTGCACATTGGACTGTGAGCAGGCTTGAACGGCTTGGACCAAAATTATATGTGGGGTATGGCCTGCTTCTGACGCTTGTGGATTTCCTCAAAGCTCTGCTCCTCCTTTCGTTTTCCCGTTTCCTTCAGCACTACCCAGTACTCCTCCTCGTTGTCGTAGAGGTTCTTTCTGCATCGGAAATGTGATGTGGACAATAAAACAGCATACCTTCTCAAAATGTAGAGTCTCTCGGAATGTCCAAAGTTGAGCACTCATACAAAGATTGCAACAGAGCATAACTGTAATATTTCACACTGGTGTGGGTGGCGAAAGCGCCTGACATGGGTCTCCGGCAGGCTCAAACAATAGGCCTTTGCACCGTTGATCTTGGTCCTGGGCCGTGGCATATGGTTATGTTGAGAGAACAAGTATGGTTGAAGTGTTGAGAAATGTATATGGAACTGTTGTAAGGCAAGGGCTGTGACCAGCCAACTTCATCTCGCAACTCGGACTCGGAGAACCACCCCTCTTCAACCTCCACAGAAACCACCTTCTTCTTCGTCACCACGACGTGAAGGGAATTCAAAAAGGCTTCCTGCGTGGATCTGCGTGGCTGGTGGCAGGAAAACCAGTGTTGAGAACATTGTGAAGATACGCAGGCGTAGTAGAAGCCAAGAAAAAATGTATATAAATATATATATATTACACTGTATATCATATTTATAAACATGCATGATGCATAAATAGGAATCAGAAAGTTTTGGAGACGAAAGACATGCGCATGCATTAAACATGCAGGTATATATATAATATGTTTGGTCCTTGTCAAAGTTGGCCGAGCAAAGGAGATCAGCGATCTGGTTCTTGTTCCCCTTGCCCCATTCTGCCTTGACCCATTCAGGTACTTCTAAGTCACGTCTCTTCGATTTAGCCTTCACCATTCGCATTATGCGAGCTTTTGCCGCAAGACGAAGCTTCAACTGCAGGGAGCCCCTTAGAAACACATGGCACCAACAAAAAAAAAAAGTATAGGTTTGGATTTTTTTTTCGTCAAACTTTCAACATTGAACCTTCCTGTCAGTCATGGGTTTTCGTCCTCCCTCCGGTGTTGGTGGTGTCTCTGGCACGGCGTCCGTAAGACTTCGAGGGGGTTCTGGAACTTGGGGAGCTGAACCCTCGGCAAGGCTTCGCACAGGCGTCGCCACTGGAGTCGGAGTCTCCACTTTAGCGGTGCTTCAACCTTCACAAGCACAGCCAAAAAACACACCCTTTGCAAGTGCACACCACCCTTCAAGCTTTACTCGACCACACCCGAACCATAAAATATATAGAAATGTTACTTAGGCATGAACGAAAAACATCAACACGACAGAGAAGGAGAAAAATGTACCTATTGACAATGGTCAACAAATGTATGCTTCTCCTGATTCACTTAATAACAAAACAGTGAACCCCTGAGACATGACCTTCTGTTGGTCAGATTCGTCCTGACCAGTAGTAGACTTTGCAGCATCGAGTTCTTGCGTAGAGGCCTCGTTGGCCGTTGGTCAGCCAAACCAACTGGAAACAAAGTTTAGCATACCAATTGTTCTATATAGACGTATGATGTTGCTCTTTCATCCGAGATGATTTCCATGAAAAACAAACCCGAAACAATTCATGTTAGTTGCTTACAGCGTAAGTGGGTTTCCTTTTGTTCAGTCCACCCTTGTCACATTAATGAGTGCGGTGCTCCGACATGACTTCCGATTCTAAGGAAGTGACAGGAAGCGTTTCTGCAGAAGATATCGTTGGGGGCTCCTGGACCTGGGCACCGGGCTGTTGCTTAATTTGGTGTGATATGATGTGTCCTAACTAAACCGGCTGTCTCTTTGAATAATTTTTCGGTATCTAAATATGTAATCAGCTGAAAAATGCTAGAATCGAACCAATACAAAGTTCAAGTATTTGAAGGGTTGCCTCTGGAGGTGGAAAAGGAATAATGACTTATATATATTATATCGTTCCACCTTCTAAGCCGTTTATTTTCAAGCAAACTATGTGGCCCAAGGGCCCAACCTCAGCAGAAATCTTCGGTGTAGCTGGCGCTGTCAGCGCGATCTCGGCATCCAACTCCTGAGAAAGGAAGGGATTACCATGTTCTTGTCAATGGGCAGAGTAGTGTTGGAAACACTAGATGCTATAGAAGCACCACAAACAAAAACCCAATCCTTCAGTTGGTTCAGAAGATCTTCCTCAGAAAGCTCTTTGCTGTCGGGCTGGCCTGCCCTATTCACAAACTCGATGCCATCCTGAAGTGTCTGGCAGCTGCCAAATCCCTGAGTGGATCGACTAGGACACCTGGACATGTTCTGTCTGGGGCCGCTGGGTGTCCTTGTAAGGGCCGCTTCCCAAAAAATGGCTGCTAACAATGACAGAGAGAAGGGATGGATCAAAGGCAATAGCACTGTTGCAATCGAGTCTTTTGCGAATGTTCCATTTGAATGGCAACCAAACATGAACTGAAAGAAAATAGCAGCTTCTGTACTGGGCATTTTCCCCTTTACTTTACGAATCCACGAACCATCATGGGTGGGAAATCCCACAGCCACAAATTTCTCGAATTAGGCTTGTTTGGCCATGAGCTCGCTCAAATCGAATTTCCATAAGGTGCCGATGTCCCTTGACAAATCAAGTTCAAACCTGTGAAAACGCAATGAATTTTCAACTATGTAAACCCATAAAAAAAGTACGGGTTAGTACGGGTAAAGTACGGGTTTAGTACGGGTTCAGTACGGGTTTGAAAAACCCGAGGTTTTTTCACAAACCCGGGGTTTTCCCAGAAATACTACGGGTTAGTACGGGTTTAGTACGGGTTTTGTACGGGTTTGGAGCAAACCCGAACTTTTCCCCATCAAAAGGTGATAAATTATGTTAAATTGGGATAAAAGATGTATAAAAACCGATATCTCCTGACCTGACTGGCGCTGGCTCCTGGGTGTGGTATGGGTTTGGTTTTTCCATATGTTTCAAAGGTCACCCTGCTAGTCTTTTCAATAAAAAATCACCAATAATGATTGTAGTCTATTTTGTACCAATGGGGAACCCCACAAAACGCTACAAACTGGAACACATACATTATCAAAAGTTTTAAGTTCACAATTCCCAGTCCAGTGAGGCTCAATCATTTTAAGGTATCAAGGGACTTTGGCACCACAGCCTTCCATTCTGGGGGTATGCGCAATGCAGCCGCCCCTCGAAGATAGTTAAACAAGTGGGGAAGGTCGGCAAAAGACCACAAGTCAGGATCATCGTTCCATTCCGTAGTCTGGAATGTTTCAAGGGCTGGTGGCACACGGCTCGGAAGCTGAGGTTGCCCACGGCAAGACTTTTTCATATCCTCGACCAAATCCAGCACCTCTCTGGCAAATGCCATTGGGTAAATCCTGGGATGGGCGACCGGAACTGGGGATATCAGGGAATGATTGTGGTAAGGTAAACGATTTGGTTGGTCCAAACGACATGGTAGAAAATTCCCAATTATGGAAGATATATGATGTCACAATGAGAAAATACATAGATCGCTTTTACCCAAGATCCTATCCCCATGTTTTTCTGGTACTTGTATGGATTCTGCAAAAGAAAGATCAACTAGTAAACATCCATTGAATTCTGTTAAGGGTCATACAGCCAAAGTCTTTTAAAATGAAAACCAAAATTTGTGCACCAATGAAATGGGCTGAGTTTCTCCGTCTTCCGAAGATCGGCTGTTCCCTTGTACCGCTTAACCCCTCTGGAATCAATATATTTCACAACAGGAGTAGGGCCGCCCTTCTTCTTCTTCCACCCTTGTAGCACCCCCTTATCGAGTCGGGAAATCAAAGTTGAATTTCCAGCCCCCCAATGTCTCTTCGGGGTGCTGCTTTGGTAATGGCCCATCCACCACCGCACTTGAGTCACCTGGTTTATGCACTGGGGTTCACATTATGAACCAAAACTAACCAAAATAAACAATCCATGTTTTTGTAACAGTATGCGCTGCCAGCCGCTACATTTCGAAATCTGTTTGAAAACATTTCTGGAAACCCATCGTTACATAAAAACATAACTGTAGATCAAAACCGTTTCCTACATAAATCCTTTTCAATCAAAACAGTGGAGTCACGCAGTTGGCACCGCCATGTTCGAACAACCGGCTCATTATTTCCCTCCAAGAGGGATAGAATTCCAGGAGGGAACCTCCCGGTTGCTCTACAGTCCAAAGCCCTCCAAGGCATGCCGTCAGTGCCACCATGAGACTGCTCCTGCGTCATGGCTGGGCAAGGGACGGGTGGGTAGTGTAGGGGATACGTTGCAACCCTTTGCAAATATCAACCATACATGAGCTATTCAACTTACTCATTCCCAAAACTTCCCAAACATAAACCCTAAACTTGGGAGGTGTTTTACAGTCCTTTCGATCAAAGTATTGGCAACAGCTACAGATGGGTAATCTGTGTATCCAACCGATGCGCATGCTGATCTTCGACTCGTACCACGGTTCATCTTGCAAAGTGAGCTGCATTTAAGTCCCAGGTGAATGGCAAAATCATTCGCTCGACATCTCAAAATACATAGTAAGGCCAACCTGAGCAGTTTCATCCCTCCACCCGTGGATATACTTATCGAATCCTACAATGGTCTGAAAAAAAATGGGTAGATCATGCGAAAGGGAGTTGGACCAGTTTTGATTGATGACATCAACCCCGAAAGAACAGTTGTGGAAACCTCTTCATACACCAGCCCATAAGCATTCATCGGGGGGTTGTCCAAAACACAGTATATAGATTTGACAAGGAACCCAAAGCCAGATGCGTGACACAAGTTCATAAAATTACTCTTTCTTGTAGGTGGTTGCTCATGGTAGAGGACATCAAAGCTTCGGGTATTATAATGAGCACTTGCCATGCATTTGGAAAGATTGGCGGCCCCTGCATAGAACTCCAAGTAGTCGAACTCCTGACAAGGACCATAGATAAACATGTTTGTTTTGTAGTTAGTGTTGAAAATCGGATGTTTGTGATTTTTGTTTGAATGTCACCATGTAAAAGTTGTGTCCAACCTGAGTCACTTCGTACGTCCAAAGGAGTAAGAGTAGGCATAGAACGAATGCCTTGGAAGTGGGACAGGAGGTGCCACCCAGGCAACATAGCGATTTGATTCATGTTGAGAACAAAGCATCCACGAGAACATATATACATAATATATATATATATAAAGCACATGTTGAAGAGTTAACATATATATACACCATATAAACATATATAAAGATTTTTTTATTTATTGTTATATCATTTTGGGCTAGCGGCCCGGGGAAGTTTCATGGCCCCAAGCCGCCACATCAGCGCATCCAAGTCCAACATGGCTCAGTGCAAGAGCGGGTTCAGCGTAGTACTTCCCACTCCGTTCCAATTTTTGCATGTACAAGTGTACCTGATACATGCAAATAAGTTGAAGTAGGCACTGACATGTGCTGTCCTTAACTTCAGCCCCGGTATTTATGTTTTGCCAATGACATTCCTCTGTAGGTGGATGAGGACTTGAAACCTTTGTAGCGGGACACCTCTTTGACCCTGACACGGCTCACCCACATCTCAGAAAGTTCAGATCAGCTAAATCACACTGGCTGAGAAAGTTCCATCAATCCCCATAATGGGCCCCAGAAAACATGCCGAGGAAACGTTTTTCTTTGCCGATGATGGCTCGCACCCTGAAGCGGCCACGTGCCTTCGTGCTTCTCCGATGCATGGCCTAAGCAGCGGGATAACCGGTTGAACATGTCAAGGAAATATAAAGATCATTTACCAGGTGAGATGCTTTTTGTTTATCTAGCACAGTTCCCATGGCCATGATGAGATTGTCTCGGATGGTTTTTTCTACTAAAAAATCTTTGGACATACTTGAGTTCAAATTAATACCAGCAGCTGAGAAAACAGTCCGGACTGAGATGATATTTTCAACTGCCCCGGATTTCAACAATCGAGCTGTCTCGCGATGGGGTACCCTTTTCAAAGTGACATGTGGCGACCTGAGGATTTCCCCAGATCACCAGCGCTCTGCCATTGACAGCTACCAGGACTGGCTCCACAACGGGTGTTGGACGGTGAGTTCACAGTAGTCATAAGGGAACTAGAAAGTATGAAGCATACACATTGAAATGGGGCTACATATTACAAGTAGGATAAGAACAGTTTTATGTTGGAAACAAACGATAAGCACCACTAGTGTCCAAGTCTGTCCATGTCGGCGGAGACCAGTCCATGTTCCAAGATTGGGGTCAAATGACCACAGGAAAGGAGATGGGTCTCTCAATGGCCCTTGTGTCAGCAAACAGTTGAAGATAAGTTACGTTGGCAAAAAGATTGTTTGTATAGATGTTGGTACCTGTAGTTCTGTAAAACTAAAAGAAAGTTGGTGTCAAACTCTTAGCCCTAGCCAACTTCGAAGGCCTCACTCAAGCCCTGGAAGTGCCACCCTCAGCATGTGGATTCTGAGCCTAAACAAAATGCATCCCAGCGCAAGTCACTTCGAACTTGCTTCCCTGCAAAAAGCAGGCACCTCCACAATGCACAAGTAGCGCACCCCAGCAGGTATATATGGTGACCCACCCCGTGATTGAACTATGCCTCCGTGTTTTCATGGAGGATTTGGTGAAAGGCATTCCTGCCAGCTTGCTTCAAGATCTCAGCCCTTTCAGAGACAATTGGATTCGCAGAGATTCCGGTGGTGCTCTTGCGACTGCCCACTTCCGATGCGTAGAGCTTGTCCACAAACGTAGCCTTAGCAGAAGAAGAGCTCAGTTGGTAAACCCTCATCTATATAAATGATGCAATGCCTCGGAAAAAACTGTTCATCCCAAAACTGGATACTTCCGCAAGGCTCAAGACTCTTAACTCAACATGTGTTACAGATGAAAAGAAAATCAGAAGGAAACAGGTGCATACTAGAAACCAACAGTTCCGCCGATTTCATGGCAATTGCAAGTTTTGTGCAATACTCGCGGTCTTCACGGTCAGGGATGGTGAAGTAAGCAAAGTCTTTCTTTTCTTCACGACTGGTAATCCCAACGGCTGGACGAGTCCAGTACACATTGAAAGTGCACCGGTTGGAGTCACATGTGTTGAGGGTGTCTGCACGCACGTTTTTTTTGAACTCCTTGAGGTCAAACCCATCCTTTTTTTGGGCCCCCAAGAACTTGACAGAAAAGTCATACAACAACCCATGCATCTCTTCCATGACTTTTGTTTGCTGCGTCTCCCTGCCCTGCTCAATCACAACTGCTTCAGGTCGTGCTGCCGCACGTGCATTGACTGGGACTGCTTTGGGTGCTCTTTTGGGGTAAGCCTTTGCTTTCGGGGCTTTTTTGGTGCTTGCCGCTGCTTTTGCTGATGCCTTGGCCTTAGGGGCCGACTTTGCTGCTGCTGGCGCTGGTGGTGTCGACGATCCTGCTGATGCTGACCTTGCGCGACGTGCTGTTGTTTTTGGTGCTGCCGCTGCTTTGGGCTGTGGCTGGTTGTGCTCGCACTTCTTTGCTTTCTTTCTTGTGTGCTTGTCAGCCTTGGGCTCAGCATGTCCTGTGTCATCTACGGATGGCTGCTTCTTTTTGCGCTTCCCATTGCTTTCTGTCGGGGGCTTGCTGTCCTCAGCATTGTTATCAGCACCTACCTTGTACAGGCTATACTTTCCATCCCCCCATGCCGCTTTGTCCCACATTTCCCCTGAGTTGTTCCACCCTTCCCATGCGCTTTCATCATGCTCATCCCACCAATGCTGGTCCCATTCCTCAGCGTAATCCTCCCAAGTCCAACCTTCTTCGCTCTTCTTTTTCTTCCCTCCCTTTCTGCCCTTCCCATCAGCTAATGCCTTGCGCTTTGCTTGCTCCGGGATTGATGAGCTTGCTGCTGCAGGTTTCTTAGCTGCTGTCTTGCTAGTGGACTTTCCTCTGCCCCTTCCCCTGCCTTTGCCTTTGCCACGACGGCTGCGGCCATCCCCGTCAGGTTTTTTCCTCATGTTGAGCTGATCTTCCCGTGTAACAGGCACACGGTCTTGGTTCTCCTTTAGGGCAAGCAAAGACAGCAGAAATTGTGCCTCAAAAAAAAGGTTCATATCTTGTATATAGGCGCACGCATATGTGCATTCATGGCGAGATGCGTCAAATAGTCATTGCGTACGTAACTATAATAATTTTGTAAAAAACACTTGACACCATAACCAATCCCAAACCCAATATCCTCATCGCTTTCGCTAAAGTCGGTGACCTTGTCGTTTTCAAAGTTGCCTTTGTCAAACACATGTGCCTTTAAATTCGTCTTATCCTTCTCTTTGTAGCTGCCTGGCGTTTCCTCAACCGAAGACCCACCCTCACAGGCACCTGTGCCGTTGTCACCGGGTTTGACCGTCTTTCCTTGGAAAGCTGCGCGCCTTTCGACAGAAGAGATTGGGGGAGAAAAGGTCACTTTTGGTTCTTCAGGTGTGGGGATCTGTGTGATGTCCATGGGCAATGTATCTTGATTGTCCTGTGCAAAGGTTGCTTTCTCATCTTTTGCTCCTTCCAAAAATTGAATCAGAAATTGCGGGCTGAAAATTCATTTGCGAAATGCTCCAGTCACACCACCAAAACAAGAACAGCTGTTTGTTCTCCTGGTGCCAACGTGCTGCGCGACAAAGGGTGCGAAGTGCTAGCCGCGACATCAGGTGAAGTTGTATCTGCTGCCTTCTTCCTTCTGATCCTGAGAAAGACGGAGTGAACATATTTTATATAGATTCGTGTTTACTCTACCCAAGGATTCAACCAAGTAATATGGGGTCTTACTCCATAGATAACGCGTGCCTTGTACCATGTGGAGGGTAACATATATAGTCATGCTGATTTGTTTATATACCGAGAAACTCCTCAAGCTGCTTCAGCAAACGCTCTCGCTTTTCAAGCAGATCATCGCTTTTGGGCCCTTAGGGACCGGCTATATGTCTATACGACAAAGTAGAGGACATGTCATCATAGCACCACAAGCAGCATTAATAACAGAACCTGGACATTACATATTTGGACAAGATACTCTCACAATCAGGTGTCTTCTTCGCCGGGGCTTTCGGGTGTGTTGGCTGGTCAGCTGCTGAACTTGTCTTGGGGGTGCTCGTTGGTGGCAAGTCTTTGGGGGTAGCATTCTCATGTTCCTCAGTTTCCACGCGTGTGTTTTCATCTCCTTTGCTTCCCTTACCCTCCGTGCCCTCTCCTGATTCCACCTCTTTGTCGCCTTCACCTTCGGAGTTGCTCTCACACTCTTCCCTATGCTCCCCTCCCTCTTCACCTTCATGCTCATCCTCATCTTCTTGGTTTTCCTCTTCCTGCGGCTCCTGACACTTTGTTTCGTGAAGCACAGTTAAACCTAACTTTAGTAACATTAAGACAAACCTCAAATGGAAAAGCAAGGTTCGAAACTAAAGATTGGTTTACATGCGAAGGGTGTCCTTGGCAGCGCGCTTGGCCTCTTCTCGTGCATTGATCTCATCGACCACGTCCTGCGCAAAGGCGATTGGAAAATAACCCATGGCATGTCCAAAAGTCCAAGCGTTTGGAAAAAATATATGTATACACATCAAAATCATATAGTCATATAATTTTGCCAGTTGATAGGATGGGTTGTTCGTGGGTGTGTTTTCTATCAACATAGGCTGAAGTTAACACAAAGTGTGATGGCTCCTGCAGCGACGGTTCAAGCAGAAGACACATAGATTGGAACTCTTGCACCTGGGAGAGAAAAAAGAAAAGTAAGTCTATGCAAAGGCTTTTAGAGCTATTGGACTAACCTGTGACTTGACTAGAGCGCTTTGAAATCACAAGCTCAAGTTGGGCTTGGCCACCTAGAGATGTTTTCCCAAACCGTTGGGTGCTCACCAAGTCTCTAAACAAAACAGCCGAGCCACCTTCGAAACTTCCTGCCTCCTGGCCTTCATCTTGACAAAGCCGAGCATAAAACGGACCCTCCAGGTAAGAGCCATATTATCATCAAAGTCCTCTGGCTTAGGCGGCCTCTTGTGTAGGGTCAGCAAACTCTCAACTGACGCGTGAAGGTCATGAATACCGGGAAGTTGTTTCTTCTCGGTCATGGACATGCGAACGAAGAGGGGGGTCAACAACTCTTTGTTCAAGACACATGTGGGAATGTTTTCCCCAGAACTGGACTTAGGATGAAGGAAGCTTCCCCCATCACGCAACCTCTCCCTGATGTCAGGGTCAGAATCCCATTCACTGGAAAGGGTTTCCAGGTCAAGGGCACTCTGTGACTTTGCCTTGGTTCTAGCCACCATGGCCTGAAAGCTAGCTAGGATTCCCTTTGGGTAAGCCAAAAGCGGCTAAGGGGAGAGAGCAGCGGATAAATCGTGTCACATTTTCAGTAGGTTGATTTTGATTGATTTCCCTCGACTCTTTGTTCCTTTGCCTTCCAAGAACCTGTTCCCACTGTGCCCATGCAGGACAAACTATTCTAAGATCCAAGCTGATGAGACAATGCCATTGCTGGCAAAACCATGCTCGCGCAGCGGGCTGGGCGTGATTGTGTGCTAAGATGTGTGTATACCAAAAGCGTCAAACACTCACTACGATTGGTACCATGATTCTGTCCACCAACTTCATTCCTATATATGTCATATAGGTCATATAGTAATAAAATATATAATCGCTATAGCACCCTTAAAAATTGCATTAAGATGTGTTATTTTTTGTGTCCCTTCCTAATGATTGCTGATCCATGTTGCTCCACCATCCACGCTCTTGATCGAGCCATCAATTCCAATCAAAAGTGGCTTTCCCAGGCCTGGGCAGGGGGAAATGGGAAAACCCGAGGTTTTCCATCCAAACCCGAAGAAAAGTTAGGGTTTGCATGAAAACCCGAGGTTTCTACTTAAACCCGAAGAAAAGTCAGGGTTTAGGTTTACTAGGTATATATATTACATGTGTATGTATATATATATATATATAATCCACGTGGGAAAAGCATTTGAAGATGGGACTGAACCAAAAACAATGCCCATGAAATTTAATGGGATTATATATATATATATATATGTGTAGAGACAGAGAGAGGGAGAGAGAGAGAGAGAGAGTAACATCTGAAAATGATAGTTCATAAAATACGATTCTTTGTGGCAAATTGAAGTTGTTCCATCCCCAAAAGGGGCTCAGGAATGGACACATGATCCCCTGAACCGCGAAACATGTGTTGGCCAGGAGCTAGGCGTCACTCCTCCATTGGGATTTTGGGACCCCTTGGGCTTCAGCAAATACGACGATCCAGAGGTGCGCCGGGCTGGGACTGTACTTGGGGCCAAAGGTCAACAAAAGTATTCTGAATATTTTTAAAGGACGGTTCATGTTGGTTAATAGTACGGTTAATAAGGGTGAATATACTTGGTTTTAATGGTTATTCATGGATATACCTATAGTAAAATCCATAAGTTGGGATATATGGGGCCATCTGGTTGTATAGCCCCCTTGTTAGAACTGCACCTTTAAGTACAACGTTGTGGGTGACGAGGCGTCAGCCGCGGCAGTTGTCCAGGTTGGTTGGTCATATACAGTTTGTTGATGTGTTTCTCAAAGCCTCAGGAAAGAATGGAATTGATATAGTATCAAAGACAAGACGGGATCAGCAGAAGAAATGGAGTTTCTATGGCTCGCGGAAGATTCGACCAGGAAAGAGCACTGGAGGTTGCAACGCGCCGGCTGGCTTTTGGCATTGTCCAAAAGGGTCCAGCTTTGAAATGTAGATATGCAGTTCTTTGCGACTTCTTTGCGGGGTATTTGCAGGACATTTTGTCCAATGATTGGCTGAAACAACTGCAGAGAGAGTGCAAACTTGCTAAAAGGGAGAGAGAGAAAAGCACAGGACCAGGGCGTGGAAGGATAGGATGAAATCTTCTAACAAGCAAGGCTATATGTGCAAGGGCTGGCAAAAGTTGATGTTTTGCCTCAGAAGACATTGAGGAAGTTACACTGCGGATCGCTCTGAGCAGTTTGACACTTTGCTGAAAGAGTGGTTGCCTATTTTCCGACAGTTTCAATGACCATCAGCATGATGCACTGATCTGGTCCGCATCACGAGCACGGGCACCCTATATTTATTGCAAGCAACTGTTGGAGAATGATGATAAACCGGTTGATTTAGGGATTCGGGATACAATGGGACATAGCATTTTCAGACAAACCCATGTTCAACAAAAATACCAGTGTATTGATTGTCCTCAGGTTTTGAAACGTTGGACTTAGCCTAGGTCTATGTACAGAATATGGATGGGTGAGGACGGTGAGGATCCAAGACCTTCCAATTCAAAAATGTTGGTTACATTTCCTGAGACACATCAACAGTTTGTTGGTGACATCCCCGCCCTATATGTTACCCCCAAATGTTTTCATATGTTTTCTTAAATAGAAAAACAGGAAGAGTCCTCCCAGTTGTGTTTGTTGGTGTCTTATCTTAACCCATCCAACTGAGTGTATGTAATTATACATTTGACATATATACATACACATTACAATATTACAAGACCCCAATCAACTCAGTGAAATGAACCAACTACAGCGTATCATCAATCACATCCACTTCTTTCGTGGTCAGTCAAATCTACATCCCTTATCATCGCTCATACTTTGGATGGTTAAATCAGTTATATAATTACTGGTTGGTGGTTTCAAACATTTTGTATTTTCCACAATATATTGGGATAATCCTTCCCATTGACTTTCTTGTTTTTTCAGAGGGATAGGTATACCACCAGCCAGATCAATTATAACATAACTGTGGAAAATCACCACGTGTAACGGGTAAATCAACTATTTCAATGGCCATTTTCAATAGCTATGTTAGTCATTACCAGAGGGTACCAATTTTACAGGGGTAGGTATACCACCAACCAGATAACATTAATGCGATGTTTAGTATTGATAATCATGGGATACCCTCTGGTAAACTAACACAACTATGGAAAATCACCATTTTATAGCTGGGTAAATCAACTATTTCTATGGCCATGTTCAATACCATTTTCAACTATAAATGGCCATTTTTAATAGGTAAATCAACTAACATACCCTCTGGTAAACTAACATAGCTGTGGAAAACCACCATTTTTATGGGTAAATGAACTATAGATGGACCATTTTCCATAGCTATGTTAGTTTACCAGGGGGTAACTATGGTGCCCCCAACAAAACAACGGTGATGCTCATCCCAGCCAGTTGGCGAAGTCGCAGTTCCAGCGCCGCCGGATCATTGAGCTCCAGCACGGCCGTGTCGCTTGGATCTTCGCAACTTCAATGAAAAGTGATGTTTTTTCTCTTATATATATACATACATACATATATAGAGTTAGATATAGATAGATAATTAATGATAATTATAGATAAGCTATAAAATTTAAAAGTTATCTATATGTTAAGCAATGCGTCATGATGATGTTTGTTTCTTGTAAACCAATGCAGTGAAGATTAAGATACTCACGTAAAGTGGATTTTGACATGTAGGGACCAACAAAATCCAACAAATAGTTATGGATCTTAGTACTAGATGGTGATGTTGAGTCATTGTTACTGATGCACCTAGAAATGGCATGAAATGGATGTATGGCAGATTGAACCAACTAAACATAGTACAGAAGCGCTAAAACATGCAAGGTGATGCCCCAGTTCGTTAGCGAAGTTGGTGAAGATAACTCCAATAACTCGGGTTCATAGGAAATATATGTAACTATATCTATACTCAGTGTGGATTATTAACCCACTTAGCTATCTAGTGGTTAACCACCTTGTGGCTGTCTTGGTATTTCCCCAAATCGGGGCTATTGTCATTGTACTGTTTATTGGTAAAATACTTCCTTAATGACTAATCCATTACACATCATTAGACTATTATTGGTTGTTTCAATACTCAAATAGTCCTCTTGACTTGGATGACGATGAATATTGATGATTGCTACCCCAAAGTCTGAAAGGCACATCCTTCCCGGAACACACACCGGGACACTGCTTCTTTAACCTCAGCTGGTCATGAAGATTCTGGACCCCAACAGGATAAGCCTTGGTGAATCGAAGGTTCATGTTTTTGTTAATGTCCCCTGATGAAGACATGGGTTTTCATCTCCTATAATGTCAAGTTCGGATTCATAAACCACCAGAGATTAATCAACCCACATTACAGTATAATCAGTATAGAAGTTGTGTTTTCGAAACAACTAGTGATGTCTTATTGTTTTCTCAACCACCTGGTGGTCGTCCCCAGGTGGCCATGCTGGCTTGCATTGGATATATTGTTCCTGAGTACTTCCGATGGCCGGGCGACTTGGCGCCTGCCGTGTTAGAACGGTGGGAAATGCAGGCTTTGCTGGCTGTTGATGCTGTTGCTGGTTTTATCCCAATAGATTGTGGGAAATCCTATTGAAACTATGGTTCTTAACCACTTGCGAAGCTGGCTTGGCTGAGTCGATTAACCCAATGGAACATCTGCTACTTGGAGAATCTATAGGGAATCCGTTTTATTTTGATGTGGGTTCGTTGAGCAAGTCCAAAATCACTGGGTCGATGGTGTCCCGGTTGATGGAGGTTGATGATATCATTTTTATGGATATATGGATGGTATTTGGGTGCAAGACGTTGATGAGATCACTGCCATGGTATTTCTTGATGGTACCATTTTCTTTCTGGGTGAATACGTTGAAGTTATCATTCGATGGTTGATAGTTTCGCCAGCCATTTCATGAGGATATTCTATGATTTCTATGATATTCTGACCATCAAAGAATGGGGACAAGCAACCAGAATATAGTGATTTGGGGATGGATCAAGACGGGACCATTGGACTTTGGGAATTCACACCATGGACAGCAGCATCAGCAGCTACACCATGTGAAAACCAGGGTACCAGGTTTTTGACCAATATCAGCCAATATCCATAAACCATCATAAACCAGTAGAGTCACAGAAGTAATGATTGAAGCATATCTCAATAAGATACGGTTCCAGCAACAGATCCAAAGAATATACCCCGTGTAACAAATGTCTTTTGGTACTTCCCCCGACTCCATTATATGTCCTTGGCAGTTCATCCATTTAGTAAGTTGCCTCTTGTGGACTCATCATGCTGAGCCGATGTCAGAACTAGGTATATGATGGTATATGAAAAATTAGTAAGTGGAGTGAGCCAATAGCTGGGTACATTTGAAGTACTGCCGTAGCGGTAGGGCAAGCCCCGTGCGTGTCTGGAATTCCCAATGTTCCCGATGGTTTCTTTTTCAACAAAAACCTCCTGGTTCAGAGCAGAATCAGGACACTGAAACCCGTGGGTTTCAACCATAGATATTTGGAACGGGGGCATGGTCCCTGAGGATCAAGTATATATACATATGTAATGTATATATATAATATAATATATATATATAATACACATTTGCATATTATGTAGATTTATACCTGTATCTGTATGTATAAATACATAGATACATACAGACATACATACATACATGCATGCATGCATGCATGCATGCATACATACATACATACATACATACATAATAAACTGTGTATATATAGTAGTATCAGCCTATGTTTTCTTAATGGCATTGCGCGGTATGTTTGTCATGCTCGCCTCAAAGACATGTCGTCACAAAGCTGCAACTTCTGCGCACGACATGTTTTCTGGCAACGGATCCATGTAATAACATTATGATACAGATATACAGTACATAGTATATATATATAACTATATAACTATATATATATATATAGATCTTGGATCTGTATTGTTGTATAAATATTTATACTGGTTACATCATGGAAGGATCCTTCCTTGCAGATTTCTCCAGGCTACTGCTCGCCTTCCATGAATTTGTCCTTCACGGATATCCCCAACGGCCTCAAGGGCGCGGCCATGGTGCCATTGGCAGGTGGGCTGCGTGGGCTCCTCTGAGGTTCACCATGGTTCATGTGGCCCCTTTTTTCTGTGTTGGGATGTCAATTTTAATGGGCCACCAATGATGGAGTGGCCACTGGGGCCTGAATTGGGGCTGTGGTTGTTTGGAGTCGGGCATGGCGGGCAGACAGTCGTGTGGACGAAGCATTAAGCCTATTCAAATTGCCATGGTGGAGGGCAATCACCCATTTCCAGACACACCCACATAGCCATGTGTTGAGCCAAACCGCTGATGATCCATGGCGAAGGCTGGTTGCAGATCATCACCTTCGCATCTTGGCCTGTGATCAGACTTGCCAAGGGAAGAAGAGCAAATAGCTTTATTGTAACGGGATTTCTGTCATTTCCTGGCCCCTTTTTTGGCCAGAGCATGGTCAAGTTCCGCTTGTATCCATTTGCACATCATAGACCAGCGAAGTGCATCGATTGAAGCTACATTGATCCACAGTTCAGATCCGAAGGTCTTTGGTGCTAGTAAGTATTCTCCATAGGGAAATGATCGAATCTAGCTTTAATCATCTTTAATCTGCTTTAATCTCATGGAATTCATTTCATGAACATTAATGAACTTCCGTTCTGTTTTGGTACCTATTGATGTTGGGGAAATTGGAAGAAATCTTTGCGGGATTGGAAGCGGCGATTCGATCCCCCAAAGCCGTGGCTTGGTGCCGTGGGATGCCCCTTAAACACAGATCTGACATTTGATGACGAATAGCTGAAAGACTACAAGGTGGTGCAGCCCCCTCGGGATAATTATTTGTTGCTATGTAACCATTAAGTATAGATACTGGTTGGTGGTTTGGAACATTTTTTATTTGTCCATTCAGTTGGGCATGTCATCATCCCAACTGACTTTCACTAACTAATATTTTTCAGAGGGGTTGGTAGGTCAACCACCAACCAGTTGTATCATCATTAACCATCATTAACCATTACTATTAACCAGTACTATTAACCATTATTAACAGTATATTAACCATCATTATCTAATAACCATTACTATTAACCATTATTCACAGTATATTAACCATCATTATCCTCTGGTAAACTGACATAACTGTGGAACATCACCATTTTATAGCTGGGTAAATCAACTATTTCAATGGCCATTATTAACAGTTGAAATTGGAGTTCTGTCGAGCCTTCACAAACTGGGGCACCACGCACGAACCGGGGCACCCAGCGCTGAGGTTGGCATCATCGAGCCACTCGTTGGCACTTGCAGTGACGGATACTGATGGAACAAGAAGATGGTGTTGTAGGTAATTAGCTACATTAGAAATAGCAGTCATTTCTAAACCATTGGTCATTAAAAACCAATAATGAAGATGGATTTATCATCAGTAGACTAAACCATTGGTCATGAAAAATAGGTCATGAATGTAGGTAATTAAACCATCAGTAGATACTGATTGGTCATTGGTCATACTATTGGTCATTAAACATCATAAAACCATTGACCTAAACCTGAATTTACCAATAGAAAACTGCATTCTAGCCCAAGATCTGGGGACTTTGGGGTTGATTTTGTCAGTAAATTTAGGATCACGTCTTCAAATAAACAATTATTTTTGACTTCTTGAAGATAATTGATTTGATGCCCAAGATGAAGCCCGGAAGGTTGGATGTTGATAATTTATCCCGAGTTGTTCGATGTTGTTTGTATATATATATATACTGGTTGGTGTTTTGGAACATGTTTTATTTTTCCATATATTGGGAAGAATCATCCCAGCTGACTAATATTTTTTAGAGGGGTTGTAACCACCGACCAGTATATATATATATATATATATGTATGTTAAAAATCATTATCCACATGTTCACTTACTGAATTCTAATTTTAACTTGTGAATTGTTATATTTATTCATTGCCCGGATTTGTGAGAGGATGTTTTTTGTGCATTTTCCCATTGGTCTTTATCTAGCAGAGATGGGGAATATAGGTGGCTAAGTTATCCAGATTATTCTGTCCGAATGATAGATAGTACGACTGTAGATTATATTAACCAAACAAGACCAAACATAGAATTAGTAAGGGTTGTAACCAATGAATATTCATTTATATATAATATGCGTAAATGACTCACCTTTGGTGCAAATCCAAGTGATTCATCTAAGAATTGGATATAATTACCGAAAAAAATCCACGAGTTTGGAGACTCATTGAAAGAACAGTAATGATTACACATACAAATATATATATATACACATGTATAAATATAATTAAATACATATATATATATATATAGATATGTTAGTCATTTATATGTGATTTGCATATATTGATATTTGAGTTTATATTTATTTACTGTATACATATATATATATATATAGAGAGAGAGATTGGTGGATAGGTTTTATAGATACATAGATGAATAGATGGATGGTATCCAACATCAGCTCAGGGTGACCAATCTGCAGAAGATCCAAGACAAAGTGTTGGGCGACTACGGCTATGGTGCCTTTGGAATTCCTTTCGGCAAGAAGATCGAGGACAGCCATTTGCTGTGCTGCGTCAGTCATGTTGTTTCACCCACGGTACTTTGCTTTCAAAGCTGTGGAATCATCGTTGTTGCTAGCAGATTGCAAAATTATATATATATATAATATACCATTGTATATATTGTAATACATATACATATTGGGGATCTCGCGGTCTCCATTTTCAGACAATGCCATATACTTGATTATTCTGGTCCGGCGGGTTGATTATGTAGCCCAATGAAATATCCATGAAGCCCCATTCAGCCCCATTAAATCACCATTGACGAATCATTGTGGTGCCGCCTCAGAACGAAGAGAAGAAAATGAAGAGCCTCACTGCTGAGATCAACAATGGACGCCTGGCCATGATGGCCATCATTGGTTGCTCGGTAGTATCAGTTGCTGTCGTATTTCCGCAACGGGTGCATGATGTTGAATGTGGCAATAGTATGAGAAAAGCAGACAGAGATCATTCATTCATTAACTTATGATAGATGTTCTGAGTATAACGCGTATTAATTGTTGGTTCATGTTCTTTGATCAAGATTCACATTTCGAGCCTCACATGAAATGCTTGCCGCCGCTTGCCCTGATCACAAGTGACTCCTAAGCATGTACATAGCTGTACTATGATATCATTAATAATATTATATATATATATATATATATATATATCCCATCAAAGTTTGAAACCCGCAGCACCAAGGCATGTTCTACCAGGACGGCTTGACCGGCAGTGCCTGGGGCGACTGGGCCAACTACGCCGACTCGCCTCTACGAGCTTTCGAGGATCTGCTGAGAAGTGGGATGTCCTCAATTTATGGCAATGCTATTAGTGTTAATGACATGAATATGATTTGGAGATGGCAATAAATATATATATATATATGTATATATACATATATATGTGAATATGCACATGATGTGGCAAAATGTATGGCCTCAGTTTACCGTATTCTCCCCCTTTTAAAGGCAATGTTGGTGGAGTAGATTTGAGCATGATTTGGGTTTGGCCAGAAATAGGGTATACAGTGTACATGGGTATAGCGTATACCACATTTATGGCCCGTTTCATCAGGATAATGAGGATAACTCATTGGATTTAATTAGATGTTTTGCCCACAATTTTCAGACAAAACCATATACCATTTGGCCCTATCCTGGCTTAAGACAAATCCTCACGCATCCATTCATTTCTCCATCGCCGGATTAGACTACCAGAGGGGAGGCGGACTGTGGAAGAATATTGAATAATATATATGTATATATATATATTTCCCAACCGGCTCCCCTGAATCTGAAGCTGAATGCATCAAATAGTGACCTCACATCGCTTTTCGTCACTGGATGGGAATTGGATGTCCCTTTATTTTTGGCCCAAGTGGTTTTCAGGTTAGTTATGACATCCAGATGGAGGTTTGAAGGTTTGTCGATGAAGTCTTGACCCACAGCCTGGGCTTTTCCTCCGCTAGGAAGAGCTTGGTGTCCAGGCTCCGGTGGGCTTTTGGGTTTCTCGGTTGGCAGATGGGCAAAGTGAAAGTGACTCCCATCATATATTTGTGGGATGATGAAATCAGAAGAGTTACCCTCCGGTAATCAAACGTGGCAATATGTGGCAATGAAAAATCCACGCATAGATTATTTTCCCATTAAACCTCTATTGTAGTGGATTTTCCATTGCCAGGTTTGATTACCGGAGGGTACTCAACATGATCAATTTGTGGGTTCCAAGAGTTCTCCATTTCTGATCCAGACCCACGTATGTATCGCATGTCACACATGAGCACCATTCCTGGATGGCTGGGTCATATTGAAACGAGACTGGCAGCGCCACCCCTTACTTGGCGTGCTTGCTCGCCTATGGACAGAATCGTACCAATCACTAGATCAGATTTGCACCCAAGGGCACCCAAATATCCAAATAGGTTTATATTTTGTTGTGAACATTTCTAACAAGTGCTTTTGACCCTTTTGGTTGCAGGTAAGAAGTCCAATTCAATGACACATGGATCCTTCGTGCTAAATCGTGCTAAAGTGCTTGGTCTTTTCAGATGTTGGTAAATGTGTTGTTTGTTTGAACATCGCAAAAAAAAAACATGTTTGCATGATACGTTTTTCATGGTCAACGAGACGGTCATCACCTTACATTAGGTCCACTCTGATCCCAATTGACTTTGATCATTGTCTATTCTTACTGGTGCTAAAGGTAGGGAATTTTCGGGAATGATCCCACTAAATCACTAGTAATAATCATCCCAGCAACCCCTAGCAACCCGACGTAAAACGCACCAGTCTTTCGCATGGCGAAAAGAAATCGCCAAGGATCCGGTCGGCTACACCCGAGATGGCCACTTGGAAAACCAGGGAATGGTAACCACGAGGTTAAAACAAGGTCATTTTTACCAGCCATGACTGGGAATGGTAACCATAGTACCTATGAAAATGGTGACTGGGGGATGGTTGACTGGGGGATTTCATGGGAAATCCTGGGACGAAGCTGGAGGTTCCTCCATATGCAGAGCAGTCTTTGGTTGGTATATGATTGACCCCACTAGGTTTGCATTTTTCGATGAGTTTAAAACATCGGGCGGAGCTTAAATTCAGATAATTAGAGTGCAATTGGTACTGTAATTGGTAGAACATAATGTGTAATATGTTAAATTGCACAAAGCATTCTGTCCTAACAGTCTCGCTCCTCTGATCTCAGCAATCTCCGTTTTTTGTTCCTGTCCACTCAGTCATGAGGTTGGCAAATCACCCAATAAATTATCATGCCCAAACATCCCAGTTACAAAGGGCGACATTCATACCACATGGATTGGGAATAACAATGTTACAAGTAACAATAGCAGGGTAGCATTCATTGTTTGGGTTTGGATCGAAGACCCTGTGTATATATATGTATACAGTCACCCGCAAAAAGATAGGACAGCAATGTACGACTATTTTAGTGGGATGTTACTTTTCTATCTTGTTGCTGATTGCTATATGCATATATCGTTGAATAGGTTTGAATCGTTTTGAAATTAAATTCAAGTTCGACGTAGCGTCGTAGGCCAAGCTGTCACCATTTAATGCTTTACAATCGGATCGGATGTTTGAACGTTTGTATCGACTACGTTGGACCTCTGGTGGTCTAATATGTTGTAGTCGCTCTACTGGATGCACTCTTGACAAGGATCCGAATCTGCAAGGTAAGTACCTGAAATCAAACGTAATTTCTCAGAAATATTGTCTGATTATAACAATAAGGATCATTTGATCATATTTGATCTTTGTGTTGTCAGAAAGTACCTGCAATGAAAATACAAGCTGCTGTCTGGATTAACCAACTCTTGGCTTACCATAATTTTATTCGAGGTACACATGAAACATACTAAGTCTTGGCAGCTACAATTTGTGGGCCCCAAAGGATGTGACTTATTTCACAAGAAGGTTTATTGTAGTTTGTGATAGACATGTCATGATATACATATATCTATACAAGGTGGGGCCCCCTAGGTAGCTAAATTGCTTTATAACTTGGTTAACTAGGTTTATACAAGATGCAACTATAGCTCCTTGGGTTTATAATTTGGGGTTTTAATTTTATAATTACATATTGTTAAACTAGTTGGTTTTAAAGCTAATTGGGTTTATAATTATGGTGTATAAACTATATTAAAACATATTAAAACCACTTTATATCCAGGGGGGCCTTGCCATCGTCCCACGCCAAAAAGGCGACATGGAGACCTTCAAGCGCCGCCGGGAGACTGAAATCAAGCATGGCCGGGTGGCGATGTATGCCACCACGGGCGGCTTGGAGCTGATTTCAAGGGGGAAACAGTGGAAAACTCAGGGAACATATATGGGAAGATATGGAAAATATGGTGTTTCTAAGCAGCAATGTTTTTTGGGGATAGAATGGGGATGTCTATCTATCTATCTACCTATCTATCTATCTATCTATCTATTTATATATATATATCTATATCTCTATATATCTATATATCTATATCTATATATCTATATATCTATATCTCTATATATCTATATATCTATATATCTATATATCTATATATCTATATATCTATATATCTATATATCTATATATCTATATATCTATATATCTATATCTATATATTATAATATTATAATTAGCTAATGGAAAATAATGGAATAGCACCACCATTATATGGTGGTAACTAACAATAGCGGACATTGATTGAGAATGTTCACATTTTTATTAACCAATAAGATGGTATGTAGCCAACAATATCATGGGCATGTAATCGCTATATAATGGTTACGTTATAGTATGTTATAACATTAGGGATATAATGGTGATATAGGAAGCCCACCCAGTTGTGTTGGGCCCCTAGCTGCAGATAGTGGTGTTCCGTTTTTTGGGATACAACTGTTCCGGTAGATTCCGATAGCATTCATCATTTTCATGGCAAATTGCTTTAGTATTTAGGCTTCCACGGCTCTAGCAATCGTCTTCTAGTCCCCTTCTCTTTGGTTGGGGATATTTGGCTTTCCGAAGATTCTCTTGCTTTCTTTCTTTACTGTTCTACCTTGTTTCCTTCTCTTTTCGTTTTATGGGGGAATCACTATGCCGAAGATTGAGCGCTTGACGCATTGGTCACATGTGGCCCCTTTGCTGAGGATACATTGTTCCTGAGTACTTCAAGTGGCCAGGACTGGGCTCAAGATGCATTGATGATGATGGCATGATGGGATGATGGTGATGATGATGATGATTATTATTATCATTATTATTGTTATTTAATATTTGTTCATCATTACTATCAATAATAATAATAATAGTTATTATTATTTATGTTCATTACTATTTGATGATGATGATGATGATGATGATGATGGTGGTGGTGGTGGTGGTGGTGCTGGTGGTGGTGCTGGTGGGGCTGGTGGGGCTGGTGGTGGTGGTGGTGGTGGTGGTGGTGGTGAGGATTATTATGATAGGAAAGTACGATGGGAAAGTACGATGTTATGATTGAATGATGGCGATGATGAATGACTGTCTCTAAAATGACAAGTATCATCCATGAGACATATTATATCAGCAGACCGGTTTCAGATCCTAGACCACATATTGTGGATCATATCTCTACAAGGTGTGGTTCCCAAACGATAGCGAAGATTATAACTAGCTCAACACTTCTTTATGACATATATAGATATAGCTTTAATGGGCTGTATAAACCAACGAGCACACAATTGGGAGTCTCCACCTTGTGCCACCAATCATCGTCCTCATCCCTTGCACATAGTGGATCATGTATAATCATCTACCACTATCTATCATGGTCCTTCAGAAGATATTATTTATATAAGAAGGATATAGGATGTATGACATATATATATATGTATGAATTTATATATATATATATAAATATGTGATATCATCTATATCAACATACATCTTACAAGATCATACATCGTCCACATCCTATGAAAATCCTCATCCCAGGATATTTGTCACCCTCCATGGGTTTGAAGTTCAGTGACGTGCCCAACGGCCTGGCTGCCATCAGCAAGGCCGCTTGGTCGGATTTTTCGGAGACATGGCCATGGTCAGCGATGTTTTTTTTTAATGGGGGCAATACTTCGTGATTCAGGAAGAATATATATATATACTTAAAGGATCTTAAAGGGTAATTCCCTCTACGAATTGATTACGAATTAATAATCCCATTTGATATGGGGTTACTTCGTCATATGATTAATATTGACTATTGACTAATGGTTTGTTATTGGGTTCACCCATGGCAAAAGATGAGCTTGCCGTACCAACACTTAGCCGTTGGTTGACCCAAGAATGAAACCACCCCAAAAATCACCATAAATGGCTTGTATAAACCATTCCCAAATGGTATGCTTGCTTTTGGGTTTACCACATTACTGTAGTAGGAAACATGTAAGTGTTTATTTTTGAAATTGTGCAGACATGAAGTAAGAGATGGGACCTGCCCAAAATAGCGAGACCCCCTTTGAAGGTTATGTCATACTGTGCCCTTCCCATTTTGCCGTATATACATCATTTTTGTACAAGTGTGTGGTAAGCGATGGGACCTTCCAAAAATTTGTTGATGTCCTTTTCGTGAACCCTGAGTTTCCGAGATTGTTCATACGTTGTTTTTGTTTGTTGATCCACCGAATGAGGGGTTTTCAGTTTCTGTTAAGTTTCGGGTACCCTCCTGTAATCAATCATGCTTGGCTGGGAAATCCCCTACAAATGGAGGGTTTAAATGGGAAAATCATCAAACGACACGGGGATTTTCCATTGTCATGGTTGTTTAGCAGAGGGTAACTAGTGCAGCCTAGTTCTTTTCGTCAAAATGTGGAAACTTGGGATGATGACTCATACTTTACCTGCATACTCACTGTGATAAGCATTCAGGGTGGGGCTGCATGTTTTCTCTGATGCGCAACAGTTTTTCCCCAAACGAGGTGGTTCAGGGTTCACATTGCGGCCTCCGGGTTTCGTTTGCTGGCTCGCACAACAGTTCCCTTGTGAGATGTCCATGTGCATTTCGACTGCGCAAGCTTGCACAAAGTGGTTGTCCTGTTTTGTGCTCTTCCGAAAGTTTACTTTTACCTGCACGTTGTGCCGTTTTTCCACTTATATCCATTTTTCATGGTAGGCGCAACTTGGACGGTGTCTTGAAAGGCTCGAAATTATACTCGTTTGTGAAACTGTCGCCATTTTTAGTTTGAAATGATTTTGCGTGGCAGGCGCAGTGCTTCAGATGTCTCAGGCTCATTTTTATGGCAGGCGTAGAACTTTGTAGATCTCAGCAAAAAAGTGCCCAAACCGAGGTAAAACATTCTGTTTTACACTTGAAACTTTCATCGTTTTTCGTGGTGCGCTCGGTACTTGGTGAAATTCTGGTATGTGCTTCCGCCACCATCTCGTCACTTTGTGCGTGTCAGATCGCTCCCGTTGCGGCGCGGTGCTCATTTCGGCTGATTTTCAATGATCCTGGCAAACAGATCGTATGAGTTCTCTGGAAGGTCCTTCTATAGGACCATCTGGCGAGAGTTTCATAGTGCGCTCGTAGAGGTCCGCAATTACATGAAGATCTTGGCCAAGGGTCTTTGTGAGAAGGTTTTCTGAAGATCCTGGTGAAATCCTCTCAGAGGTCCTTGCATGAAAATCCTATACCTGTATTGGAGGTGCTCCCATGGGATGCTCTTATGGGATGGATCTTGTAAGATCCTCTCCGGCAGACATTCTATGACGATCTTGTGAGATTCTCTTGGATGTCTTGGCATGAAGATCTTGATAAGGTCTTGCAGAGATCCTTGTGGGAAGATCTTGTGGAGATCCCAATGAAAGCTCTCAGGGGTCCGTGCTCTGTATTAGATAGAGGTGCTTGTATGAAAGCTCTTCTGGGCTGCTTGTCGAAGGTTCTTGCATGAAGGTCTTGTAAGGTCCTCTAGGCTAGACTCTAGAAGGTCCTTCTTTGATGATGATCTTGAGAAATTTTCTGTGAGGTCTTGTGAGGTCCGCCTGGTCAGTAGGCATACCGTTGCGCCTGTGACAAAAACAAGGTCCCGGTGGTGCATTTCCGACAATTTCTACTCTGATCTGGGATTGCTTCCGTAGCTACTGTTGCTTGTTTCTCCTACATTGATTTCCTACCCCCACACTTTTTGGGGCCTCTTACCAGGGTAATGTTAGTTGCTTTTTATGTGGATGCCTGGGTACATCCAATACTGGGGAACTACCTCATTAAACCAATGAGCATTATTATCTTCCTCCGAATATTAACGTGGGCTATTGGTGGACAAGCAACGTGCGTCAATCATGCGAAAGAGGAGCAGTGGTTTGTGAGATTGAACGAGTGGAGGCCCCGAGCATTTGGAAACGCCTCGGGCCCAAGCAGCTGCCAAAGTTCCCACTGTCTCATACCAGTTGGGTTCAAGTTCCATGCAAGCCTTGCTCTACACTCTACATGAAGTGGATAATCGCAGCAATATCATTAGCACCCTAGGTGCGCTCAGCCGCCGTTTTCTTCATTTAATTTCTTTCTACGGTGTTCCCAACCGAAACGCTGGGCCTGAACCTGCCCAAAATGAGCGTCGCATCGGCTTGTTATTTCAACGTGCCAGATCATTGAAATTGAATTCCCACCTTGTATTAATCTGCACGGATGGGAATACCAGCGGTGACAGATTCTTCCAGCCAACAAGTGTAGCAGCACTGAAAGAGGACTGACCTCGCTCACTTGCTAGCTCTGACGGCCAATAGACATGATTCAGATGTTCATATTTCTTTCCATTGTTAAAATGGCCCATGCTAAACGACCGATATCCATTCCTATGTGTAAGGTTCATGACCCAACCCATGGCTACAGTACTTATGTCCTGGCGGTCGCTGGCTAAATGGTCTATCTTTAGCCTAATCTAATGGCTGCCAAGCATCATCAAGTCTGGGTTTATTTTCTATGTCCTCATGGATTGTATCAGTTGTGTCCTCCTGGGGTTGGTTGTGGTTAGTTGTAGCTCCATGGCCATTGATTGAAATGAGTCAACACAGCATCTAAATTACATACAGTATCTAAATTAACCATGGTGTGTGCGCTATGGATCTCCAACATCTTGCTAACCCGACACACCATATGTGATGAGACGACGCCCTCCATGACCAGCACTGGACAACCAGCATATTCCCAGTAATGTATATCCCATGTATATCCCATATTCTCCCATTTGTTGGTGATTATGATTAATGACGGTTTCAATAACTTCAAAGTTGTCAGCATATACGTATAATACATATCATGTATACCCATTTCTGTGTATATATATATATGTATTTATATGCATCTACTCACCCATAGATATATTCCGTATATGTTTATATAAATGCAAATAGATATATTGTAAATAATTAAGCTATTATATACATTACATACATTATATTTATTTTTATGCATGTATACATCTATATACATATTTTCATATATACATAATATGATCATTTTTTTTACATATATAAACATATTTACGCATATACATATTTACATATTTACATATACGCATATAGATATATATATATATAAACATTTACATATATTTATATATAGATACATTCAAAAATACATAAGTACATTTACATATTTACATTTTTACATATATAC